ATGTTGTTCAAGGGTCAGCTGTAATCACAAGTTTACGTGGCTATTAAAAAAATGCAATGTGGCCTGCAGGAATACATGTACAGGATACAGTTTCCTTTTAACCAGAATTAAAGTAGATTTCTAAAGAATTCCAAGTCTAAGATTCTTTGGTTGTAAATGTCTGGAAGCCTAAGAGAGAATTTCTAATAATAGGAAATAGAGATTATGTACTAGTTGAGTCAAATAATGGTTTCATAGTTTCTCCTAGTAAACCCAAAAAGATAAATTGCAAGTACAATTACCAAATGAGCATGAAGAGAAACAAAGAATAATACAGCGTAGCATGAAAGAGAACACCAGGAATATCAGGGCATGTGCTGAATGAATCAGAACACCAGATCACTATTCTCAGAGTAGCCACTGGACTATTGTGGATTTTTTTTTTTTTTGAAGTGTGTTTCTTGATTTCTAAGTAGGTTAAGGTTTCCTTTTAAAAAAGTAATAGAATTACCGTTTTTGTTTTTTTGTTGTTTTTTTTTTTTTTGAGACAGAGTCTCACTCTTTTGCCCGGGCTAGAGTGAGTGCCGTGGCGTCAGCCTAGCTCACAGCAACCTCACACTCCGGGGCTCAAGCAATCCTACTGCCTCAGCCTCCCGAGTAGCTGGGACTACAGGCATGTGCCACCATGCCCGGCTAATTTTTTTCTATATATTTTTAGTTGTCCAATTAATTTCTTTCTATTTTTAGTAGAGACGGGGTCTCGCTCTTGCTCAGGCTGGTTTCGAACTCCTGAGCTCAAACAATCCGCTCGCCTCGGCCTCCCAGAGAGCTAGGATTACAGGCGTGAGCCACCGCGCCCGGCCAGAATTACCGTTTTTTTTTTCTTTTTTTGAGACAAAGTCTCGCTCTGTCACTGGGTAGAGTACAATGGCATCGCCATAGCTCACTGCAACCTCCAACTGCTGGATTCAAGTGATCCTCCTGCCTCAGCCCCCTGGTAGCTGGGACTACAGGCCCATCCCACGAGGCCGGCTAATTTTTCTATTTTTAGTAGAGATGGCGTCTCGCTCTTGCTCAGGCTGGTCTCGAACTTCTGAGTTCAAGCAATCCTCCCGCCTTGGCCTCCCAGAGTGCTGGGATTACAGGAATGAGCCACCATGCTCAGCCAGAATTACCTTTCTAATTCTGATTTCTAGTTTAATTCCATTATGACCAAAGAGAAAAATATATTACTTCAATACTTTTAAACTTGTTTATTATTATTATTTTATTTTTATCATCAGCGAGGATATGGTCTCTCTTGGTGAATGCCCCATGTGCTCTTGGAAATAACATGTATTCTACTATTGTTGGATGGACTGTTCTATAAATGTCTATCTGTTCCAGTTGGCGGATGGTGTTCACTTTGTCTATTCCCTTGCTGTGTTTCTATTTCTTCTACCAATTACTGAGATAAAAGTGTTGAAGTCTCCAACCATAATTGTGAATTTTCCATTTCTCCTTTGAATTCTATCAGTTTTTGCTTCATATATTTTGAAAGTCTGTGGTTAGGTGCATGGACATTTGGAATTGTATGTCTTCTAGGTGAATTTACTCTCTTATCATGGCACATCCTTCTGTGTCCCTGGTAATTTTCCTTGCTCTGAAGTCGGCTTTGTGTGATGTTAATGTAGCCACTCAACTTTTTTGATTAGTATTTAGGTGGCATAAAGTTTTCCATCATTTTACTTTCTATGTACCTTTATTATTATTTTGAAAGTGGGTTTCTTGTGGATAGCATATTATTAGGTGTTGTTTTTTCCTTTAATCATCTTGACAGTCTTTCTTTTGATTATGCACTTTGAGTATTTAATGCAGCTGTTGGTGTGTTTGGATTTAGGTCTGTCATGTTATCATTTGTTCACTTGTCCTCTGTCTCTGGTTTTCATTGCCCTCTTTCCTTTTAGTGTCTTCTTTGGATTATTTGGATGTTTTTTAGTTTTCCATTTTAACTTATCTATTGAGTTTTTAACTACATTTCCTTGTGTAGTTTTTTTTTTTTTTTTAGTAGTCTAGGGATTAATGTACATCCATAACTTTTCGGTGTACCTGGAATTTGTATTTTGCCACTTGAGTGGAATGTAGCAACCTTCCACCATACAGGTTCCTTTAACGTCCTCTTTTACGTTGTAGCTGTCATGTATGTTGCATCTACACATATTCAAAACCTCATCAGATAATTTTTGCTTTTAATTGTCAAACATATCTTTTAAAACTTAAGAGGAGAAACAAAGTCTATTATATTTACCCAGCTATTTACCATTTCTTTTGCTCTTCCTTCATTCCTGAAGTTTGAAGTTTCCCTTTTGTATAAAGATCTTCCTTTCATCTTTCTTTAGAGCAGATCTAGTGCCTATGACTGCCCTTAGTTTGTCTCCACGTGAAAATGTATTTATTTCACCTTCATTCCTGAAGTACGTCTTTGATGGATATAGAATTTTGGGTTGACAGTGCTTCAGCACTTTACAAATATTATTCTACTGATTTGTGACCTCCATGAAAAATCCACAGTCATTTGAATGAATTTCCCCTATGTATGATCTGTTGTTTGCCTCTGGATGCTTTTAAGATCTTTTCATTGTCTCTAGTTTTCAGTAGTTTGTTTATGATATCTGTAGGCATTGATTTCCTTGGGTTTTTCTATTTGAAGTGTCTGTTTGAGCTCTTGTGTTTATAAGTTAACATTTTTCATCATATTTGGGATGTTTTCAGCAATTATTTCTTGATATTGTTCTGCACCACACTCTCTCTTCTCCTTCTGGAACTCTGATGACAGACTGTTAAATCTCTGTTGTTGCCCTATGTCCTATGGGTCCCTGAGGCTCTGTTGGGTTTTTTTCCCCTTAATCTTTTCTCTCTCTGTTCTTCAGTTAGATAATTTCTGTTGAGCTATTTAAAAGTTTACTGATTCTTTCCTCTTTCATCTCATTTTAAAACTGAATTCTGCCCGTGGATTTTTATTTCAGTTATTATATTTTTCAGTTCTAACATTTCCATTTCATTCTTTTTTTTTTTTTTTAAGACTAGTCAAGTGCAGTAGTGAGGAGGGGGGGAAAGTAGTAGAACAAGTTCAATTGAACTGACTGTGAACAATCAGGTGAGATAACTCACTACCTTCGGACCAGCCTCCATTTCATTCTTGTTTGCATAATTTCTCTATTTATTTTTTATTCATTTCAAGAATGTTCACCCTTACTTCTTAGAGAACATGGTTATATATGAGCTGCTTTAAAGTCTTGGTCTAATAATTCCAACAACTATGTCATCTTGGTGTTGGCATCTGTTGACTGTGAAGTTATTGAGATTTTCATAGTTCTTTATATGTCAAATAATTTTGTATTGTATCCTGGGCATTTTCAATATTATGTTATGAGACTCTAGGCCTTGTTTAGTTCCTATTATTAAGTTTCTCAAGCAGTTGACACAGTTAAGGTCAGGCTAAAAGTTCTTCCCAGCCTTCAGGGGCTGTTTCTTATGTTAGCTCAGGTTTCAGGGTGTTTGTGGTGCCATTTGGATAATGTGGATTACCCCAGTGCCAGTCTGGGACCTGTGAAATGTTCCACCCCATAGTTCAGTTCTCCAAGAATGTAATATGCTATTTAGGTTCAGACCCAGTCTTGCAGTTTGGGGGTAAGTCCAGGAGTTCATACACAACATTATGGGGTCATTTCCTCGAGCATTCTTCCAGATACTTCCTGGTTTCCAGCAATGCCCCGCCAGTCTTTCTGATAGAAAGGTGGGGCTTTCCCAGTGCCACACGCTTCCTGCACTTGTGTCTGCTTCTGGAGCCCAGTGACAGGAAGACAGAAAAAAGAAACAGGGTTTCTCCCCCACACTGTTGGGACCATGGTTCCTCTGGTCAGAGAAGGTTCCGTTCCCTCAGAGTTGTAGGTGCTACCTGGCCACCACTGCTGTTACTATACTGGGACTGCCAGGAGTGGGGTGGGGTGGGGTGGGAGAAAACAACATCTGAATACACTGGATTTCCCTCATTTCCTCATACATTAGGGACCCCTTTTTCTTCTCTTCAGATCAGAGAGGGCTTTTCCTGGAGTCTTTGCGTCCATTCCCAGTTTCGAGCTGCTACTGAGTTCAGGCCAAGGGCATACCACAGGAACAACAGAACAGGCAACTCACCACAGGATTAGCATAACCTCAAATTCCGGTTCCCCCCACCCCACCCCCAGCCACCTGCTACCGTTTACCTTCAGAGTCCTCAGACAGCTGATCTATACACCCTGTCCACGTTCTTAGGTGCATTCAAATGGAAGAAATGGGGTGAAGTATGCTACACCATCTTAACCCTTGTTTGTATATGGATGTTTCCAGAAACCACTAAAGGAATTCTCTAAGCACTATTTGCCGACTAGTGTGAGGAATACAAAAGCAAAAGGAAAGGGAGCAAACATTTATATGAATACACACCATGATTTTTAAGTTAATACAATAACCTTATAAGGTAGAAAAACCAGGAGGGGCCAAGTTTATCTCTGGACAATGGAACGATGAAGGAAAGGCCACACCCCTGGCCATCCCAACCCCACGCAGCGCTGCCCTTACACTCTTAAGGTAGTATCTGTGTTGTCATCATGAGATGTCAGGGACTGCGTGAGTTGCATTTTAATTAAGTGCCCCCAAAAGAATATGCTTTCGCTAAAAGTATCAGTCTTGCTTTTGGGGAAAATACCAGGCTGTGAGGCTGACCAGCCGAGGGGGCTTTGGGAGTCTGAAGACCTTGACAGTCCTCATTTCACGCTGTGGAATGACAGCCTATCCACATGGCCACACAAGCTGCACACTGCAGACCTTAGGGGAAGCTTTTCTCGTGGGTTTTAATGTGAATGCCCCCCTGGAGCTGTGCACATTTTGGCTGTGTGCTCTGCTCACAGGAAAAGTCCTGGGCAATTAGAAAAATTAGGGGGTAACAACAACAGCCTGTCATTTCCTTTCTTCATTTACCCTCTGCCTGTTTCCTCCCTCAGTGTTGGAGGAAGACGATCATTACCTCTGCAGAGTCTTTGGATCTCTCTAGAAGCAGCTGCCCACTCTCCCAGAGTGCGCCGACAGGACTGAACCACGTGGGCTGGCCTGAGCACATTCCCGACACTGGTGAGTTACGTGCCTCTCTTTTGTTAGGTTCTCTGACACCCTGGCAAGGACAAGAGGGGAGTGTTGCTAGCAGCTATATCCACTTGTCTGGCGGCAGTAGCTTGAAGATGAGAGCGATAAACATCTCATCCCTCCAGTTGGGAAGGAGTGCTAGTACCTAGAGAAAAGGAATTCTAAGCCTGGGGCAGATTCCATTATTGAATTCCCAAGCCTGGATCCATTAGTTAATTTTGAGCAGGTCTACTGACTATCCTTTGCCCTTGTACCAGGATATAACCTCCAGAAGAAATAATCATGTAGTGAATTGTCTCTAATCTAGTGGTGGAACGTGGGTGTTTTCCCCTCTGAAGAACAATAGCCTCTTCCTTGAGTTTTATGACAGCCTCTGTGAGATCCTTTCCCAAAACTACAGCAAACAGCATCACATCAAACATTTGTCCATAAAAAGGTGGGTCTTTGTGCCAGAAGGGAATTGGGTCTCATGTGAGAGCCAGGATGGGCCTCTTCATGCACAATGACCACCTTCCTCACACCCAACCCAGGAGGGCCGGACGTGCTGAGATGTGCAAGGCCCCTGGTGGAAGGACAGATGTCACGTGTCAGGCCTTGAGCAGGTGCAGACTGTGTTAGGTGGTGACCTTACAGTCTAACTTACAGTCTAAAAGCACTCAACTGGCTGGAGAGAGGCCAGATCTGGTGTTTAAGAAAGGTATACAAGAGTAAAGCCCTAACTAAGCAGAGTTGACAAAACAAATCAGCCACATGTGTCAAACACACACTTTGTCCAGGCTTGGGGAGGAGGAGGCGTGGACTGGTACTCAGAGCCGTCAGCAGTTCAGTCCAGTTGGAGCTGAAGACCCTACAAAGCCAGTGATGGGAGACAGAGACGAAGGCACACGGTAGTCAGCCGAGCACTAGCGTTTGGCATGTGCCGTGTGCTAAGGCGTCAGCCCCGATGCAGACCCCGAGTCTCGAGCCCTGAATGTGACTCTGTGCACACTCCGCACTGGGCCCTGGGGAAGCTGGCTGCCCAGATTAGCTGGTGGACGTGATGGTTTTCCATTAGCAAATGGATGTGCTCAGGCTGCATTGTGAAGTGGACTTTTATCTTTCCCACACATGTCCAAGGGTTAGCCTGATGTGGCAGCATGCTGCCCTCTGCCCACCAGTCGGCGCCCAGGACAAACCCACCACATCCCCTCCTCTCGCAGTGGAGCCAGCAGGGCCAGGTGTGACCCTGCAAGTCCCCGGCACCTCCGGAGTTCATGTCTGTGACTCTGGAAGGGTCTGCAGGGTTTTACCAGGAATTTTCTTATTGCCTTCTGGTGGTATGGTTACTTCACAAGCTGTAGGTCACCTCTTTCTTCAAGCAGTTGTATCTTTGTTTGCGTCTTGTGGCTGATATCCTTCTCCAGTTTCTAGTGCTAGTAAAGGATTTTCCCTATTTTGTCAAAGTTTTATTGAGATATAGTTCACATACAGTTCCGCGGTTTTTAGCGTATTCACAGATATGTGCAGTCATCACCACAGTCAATCTTAGAACATTTCTGCACTTCATAATAAATTCTACACCCTTTAGCTACAACCTTTCATCGCCCTAAGGAACCATTAATCTGTTAATACTTCCTATCTCTGTAGATTTTTGCGTTTGCACGTGAATGCAATCATACAGGATGTGGTCTGGCAACTGGCTTCTTTCACCTGGCGCGGTGACCTCAGGGCCCACGCACAGTCCTGTGCATCAGCACTTCATCCCTTTGTGGCCAGGACACTCACCCTGTGGACTTCCCACAGTTTGCTGCTTCAGTCATCTGCTGATGAACATGTGGACTGTCCCATGCGTTGGCCACTGCGAATGATGCTGCTATAAGATCATGTGTGCAAAGTTCAGTGAAGACATCTGTCTTCATTTCCCTTGGATGTGGGCCTAGGAGTGGCAGTGCCAAATCATCTGAGGAGGGGCCAGGCTGCTTTTAAAGCAGCTGTGCCATTTTACACTCACTCCCCCCGCCAATGTGATTCCTCCGCTTTCTCTGTATCTGCATCAACGCTTGTTACCTCACTTTCAAGTCTAGTCGACTCAGTGGGGGGAGTTGTATCTTATTACGGCTGGGCTTGCATTTCCCTGATGACTGATGATGCCGGTCTTTCCGTGTGCTTATGGCCATCCATGTGTCTTCTCTGGAGAAATGTCTATTTGAACCCCTTACTCATTTTTAAATGAGGTTGTCTTTTTTACTGAGTTATAAGTGTCCTTTATATTCTGGATAGAAGTCCCTATCAGATACATGACTTGCAAATATTTTCTCCACTGCTGTGGGTTATCTTTTCATTTTTTGATGTTGTCCTTCGAAGCACAAAAGTTGTTTTGTTTTTTTTTTAATTTTGGTGAAGTCCAGTTTACCTCTTTTTTCTTTTATTTCTTGTGCTTTTGGTGTCCTGTCTAAGAATCCTTAGCCAAATTCAAGTTCGTGAAGATATGCTCCTGTGTTTCACCTAAGAGTTTTATAGTTTTAGCTCCTACATTTAAGTCTTTGGTGCATTTTGGGTTATCTTTCATATGCAGTGTTAGGTGGGGTCCAACCTCCTTCCTGCGTGTAGCTGCGTGTAGCTACCCAGCACCGTCTGTGGTGAGGACTGTTCTTTTCCCTTTGCGGGTCTTGGCGCTCTTGTCAGAAATAAGTTGACTAGAGGCCTGTGGGTTTATTTCTGGACTTTCAGTTGTATTCTGTTGATCTGTCCCTGTGCCACTACCATGCTGTCATGATTGCTGTTGCTTTGTAGCAAGTTCTGAAATCAGGAAGTGTGGGTCCTCCCACTTGCTTCTTCTTTTTCAGGATTGTCTTGGCTGTTCCAAGTCCCTTACGATTCCATAATCTGATAGAGATTGTGTTGAATCTGTATAGGAGTTTGGGGAGCATTGCCATCTTAACAGTATTGAGTCTTCTGATTCATGAACATGGGTTTTTTCCACTTATTTAGATCTTCTTTAATTACTTTCAACAATGTTTTGTGGTTTTCAGAGTATAAACTTGCACCTCTTTTTGATAAATTTATTCCTAAGGATTATATCTTTTTTGATACTTGTTATACACTGAATTAAGTCCCCCCAAAATTCGTATATGGGAGCCCTAATCCCCAGTGTGACTGAATTTGGAGATAAGGCCTTTAGGGAGGTAATTAAGGCTAAATGAGGTCATAAGAGGGGGTCCCTAATCTGATAGAGCTGGTGTCTTTATAAGAAGCAGAAACACCAGCTCTCTCTCCAAGCACGCGCACAGCAGAGGACGTGCGAGGACACAGTGGGAAGGTGACTATCTACAAGCCAGGAAGAGAAGCCTCACCAGAACCCACATTTTCCAGCACCTTGATCTTGGACTTCTAGCCTCCAGAATTGGGGAAAAATAAAGTTCTGATATTTAAGCCACCCAGTCTGTGGTATTTTGTGGTAATTTTGTTTGTTTGTTTGTTTGAGACAAGGTCTTACTAAGGAGTCTGTGATATTTTGTTATAGCAGCCCAAGCAGACTTATACAATGCTATTGTAAATGGAATTATTGTCTTAATTTCATTTTCAAATTGTTCATTACAATATATAGAAATACAATTGATTTTGGTGTATTGGTTTTATATCTTGAAACTTTGCTGAACTCACTAATCAGGTCTAGTGATTTTTAGTGAATTCTTTAGGATTTTCTACATACAAGAGCATGGCATCTGGAAACAGAGTTTTACTTCTTCCTTTCCAATCTGGTTGTCTCTTATTTCTCTGTTCTAGCCTAGTTGCCCTAGATAGGACCTCCAGTACAATGTTGAATAGAAGTGGTGAGAGTAGACACTCTTGTCTCATTCTTAATTCTAGGGAGAAGGCATCCAGTCTTCATCAGTAAGTGTGATGTCTTATCAGGCCGAGGAAGTTCCCCTCCATTCCTAGTTTGTCAAGTGTTTCTATCATGAGAGGGTATTGGATTTTGTCAAATCCTTTTTCTGTATCTATTGAGATGATCGTGCAATTTTTATTCTTTACTCTATTGATATGGCATTTTATACTAATTGATTTTCAGATGTTAAACCACCCTTGCATTCCTGGGATAAATCCCACTGGGTAAAAGTGTGTATTTTTTAAAAATATTTTGCTGAATTTAGTTTGCTAGTATTTTGTTGAGGATTTTTGCATCCATATTCATAAGAGATATTGGTCTATAGTTTTCTTGTGACCTTTTTGTCTGGTTTTTGTATCAAGGTAAAATAAGTTGGGAAGTGTTCTTTCTTATTCTATTTTTGGAAGAGTTTGCAAATAATTGGTATTAGTTCTTTTTTTCACTGTTTGGTAGAATTCAGTGGTGAATCCATCTGGGCCTGGGCTTTTCTTTGTAGGTAAGTTTTTGATTACTGATCGAGTCCCTTGATTTGTTACAGATCTATTCAGACGGTCTGAATTTCTTCTTGAGTGAATTTTGGTAGACTGTGTCTTTCTAGGAATTTGTCCATTTCATCTAAGTCATCTAATTTGATGGCATACAACTGTTATAGTATTCTCTTATAATCCTCTCTATTTCTGCGAAGTTAGTAGTAATGCTTCCTATATTGTTTCTGAGTCTCGTATTTTGGGTCATCTCCTTTATTCATCAAGTCAACTGAAGATCTATTAATTTTGTTGATCTTTTTGAAGAATGGCTTCTGGTTTCACTGATTTTCTGTATTGTTTATCCCTTTTTTAAAATTTCTCATTATGCCTATTTTCTATTCTCTATTAATTTCCACTCTAAACTTTATTATTAAATATTCCCTTTCTTCTATATGCATAAGGTTTAGTTTTGCTCTTTTTCCAGTGTCATAAGGTGGTGATTCAGTTGTTGATTTAAGATCTTTCCTCTTTCTTATTAAAATATGCATTTACAGTTATAAATCTCTCTTCAAGCACTGCTTTGTCTGTGTCCTGTAGTTTTGGTATGCTGTGTCTTCATTTTCATTCATCTCAAAGTATTTTCTGATTTTTCT